CCTGGCACATAGTAGCCACTGTGTAAATACTTCTTCCCTTATTTTCTCCCCTGTCCCTACTTCTTTGATTCCATTAACCCCAGGGACAGATATGCTTGTTTCCAACTCCCCAGGGACCTTGGGACAGGGGCTAGGAAGCCCTGCATCCTTTTACTCACCACTGTAAGAACTCTAATCCCAATGGACACCTGCACAGTTTGGCTCTCCAAGAATTTTGTAGTAATGATGTAATTTCTACTCATAGGAAGGGCTAGGCACAAATCTTTCCATTTGAGATGGAGAAATCAAGGTATTGAATGGGGCTATAGCTCACACTAGGCAATTCTGGGAATCTGCTATCATTAAAATTTTCAGCACCATCGCCCCTCCTGCAGATGGGGATACTGAAGCTCAGACAGAAGGGACTTAGTTCTCTCCCTACTGAATTCCTAATCTCCTTTCAAAACCTTCTCAAATGGCCTCTTCTATTTTGTAGCCTTCTCTGATCCCCCTGTTGATAATGGCCTTCTCTCTCCCTTCTCAGATCTCCCATAGCAATTTGTTCCTCACCTCTCACGCAATCATTACTTTGTATTTTAATTATCTGTGTTTATGTCTTGTCCATTGACTTGACTGTAAGCTCCATGAGACACAAGTATCTCTTATTTATACTTTCTCCAGAAGATAGCAATGTTTGGTAAATAGTAGGTTCTGGAAAAATGACTGTTGAATGAATAAAATGTCCACTACCTTCAAGCTTCCCAAGGCTAGAGCTAGGACAGTCTCCTGAAATTCTGTCTTCTGACTTCTTAAATTCCCAAATACCAAGAAAAAGTTCAGCTGAACAAAGGCCGAAGAGTGGCAGGGTGAGGTCATAGCTGTCACTTTACCTCATTTCTGGCCTGACTAGCAATAGTATGTCCTTTACCTAGGGAAAGAGGAACTTAAGGTTCAAATCTCTAGCCAGAGATGCTAGAAGAACCTGAAGTTTGATGTCCCTTTAAGGGACCTTCATGGATGGGGCACCATAAGATGAGGTTTTCATTCAGGCAGCTGAACTCCCCTGGACCTTTAGAGCATGGATTAGAGTAAGGGAGCCATCTCTAAAGCCCCTCCAACTTAAAAAAAATCATGGAAATTTTAAACAAAACAAAAATAACCCTAGATTCTTAAAAAAGACACCTGCTCTGAGCTAGCCTCTACAGAATATATAACAGGAGGGAGGATTAATGTGGTTATCAGACCATAAGATCATAGATTAATATTTGGAAAGGACCTTAGAGGTCATGTAATCCAACCCCTTTATTTTACATGTGAGGAAACTGAGACCCAAAGAGGTTCAGTGTCATATAGACAGCAAGTGTCTAAGGCTAGATATAGACCCAGGTCTTCTTGACTCCAGGTCCGTTGCTGGGATGGGGTGGGGTAGAGTAGTGGTGATGGTGGTTATGTATACATAGGTTCCCAGTGTTTCCTTCCTAAAAGTACCATCCACTTTCTTCCATGAAAGAGAAACCATTTCCCTTTCTAGTCAAGTTCCTGTTCTGGATGGGACTGACACTGGGGGAATCCTTGACAAATTTTCTGGGAAATGGCCTTGGTAATAATAAATATTTCTGAATTCAGATGTCAAAAAAGCATCACTAATGGTGTTACCTTTGGGAAAAGCCTATAAAGAGGAAACTCACTTTGGGCTTAGTGTTGCAAAAATTTCATTCTAAATATATGTGCACTGAAGTAAGCATGTAATCAATATACATAAATGCACATGAACACACACACACACACACACACACACACACCACCACCACCACCACCATTTTAACATTTATTCTTGTTAGTTTTAAGAGGAGCTTCCTCTTCTGCTCAGGGTAGCTCTTCTCTAGCACTTATCTGACCCTCAGGCCTATCTTTCTACAAAAGACACCTCCTCCCTCCAGACCCTCATAACTTAGGGTGAAAATCCAAAGAAGAGAGTCAGCTTTTGTGTCTGTCTTGCTCAGTGTATCTAGAGTGGAGTAATAATGACATTCACATCTATCCCTTGGGCTCCTATCACTCACCTTTTCTCCCTCTTTCAGAGATCCAAAGGCCAGGGTCTCAGCCTCCATTGAAGGGAGGTGGCAAGTGATCCAAAATGATACTACTTTGTTTAGACAAATCTGGAATATTGTGTTACCATGGTTGAACACCTCTATGATGTTAATAAGGTTTTCCCAGGTATTCTTGGGATGAATCCATGAGCTCATTACTTTTGCTGACTTAGTACACAAGGGAGCAACTCATCTTCCTGGCTCTATATGTGGAACCAAAATTCCTGATGCCCCATGTACAGTTGACTCATTGTCCAGTGAAGAGGAGAGTCATTGCTTTGCTTATGTTTTTAGGTGGGAAAACATAAAATAACTCTCTTTGCTACCAATTATGTACCCTTTTCCTACAGGGGTTTGCATATGTCTTGCTTGCTACATGGTTCTGGCCTGGAAGAGATTTTAAAAGGTCATCCAATCCAGTGCCCTCATTTTATAGAGAAGGAAACTGGGGCCCAGAGAAGTTAAATGAATTGCCCGGGGTCAGAGTATCTGAGTCTAGTTTCTATGCCCAGGAGGTGGGGAGAGGAAGATGAGTTCACAAGGAAGATATCTATCATTCTTTCTATTTTCAACTTATCCTACATCTCTTGTTCCTCCTTTCCTCTCTTTATCCATTTCCATATGTGTTCTCTTTACTTCCTGTCTCTATCCTTTTCTAATACTCTCATCCAAGAGATAGTTATCCTCTCTCCCCCAACATAGCCCCTTCTAGCCCTAACACCTTCTAAAACCAAAGCCTCTTCCCACAAAGTCTTCTCCTCCACCCCAACAACTTCATTTCTTAGTGGTGACTACCATCTGGGTAGGATAAAGTGGATGACTAAGCAAACCCAACCAAGATGGATGATAAAAGCCACTTTGTCCCTTCATCACCATTGCTATGTTTTTCTGCTGCCTAGATACCCTCTCAGTCTCGCTGTTTTCTGGCTAAAATAAAGAAAGGGAGTAGTAAGGGTCTGAGGGCAATGTGTGGGTGATCCCTGCATTCCTCTACAAATTACCATCACATCCCTAAGAACTATTGAAAGAGAGGGACCCTGACTGAATCAACACTTTATCAAAGGACTCATTAAATGATTTATAGCCTCCAAACCCTGGGGGTGAGGAGTGGATAGGGTTTGGGAAGGGAGAGTTTGCATAGCCAGGAATTTCTGAGTCTTTGAGATCTGGATGCAGTAATGATTAGCCTGGGGGCCTACAGTTCTGGTGCAACTTAGGGCATCTCTGGTTGTGGGTATGAATTGTGACTGAAAGGGAGATAAATTAAAGCAATGGCTCAGTTTGAGATTTCCCCTCTAAGTTGGTGGAAAGGGATGAACACCCTCCACACAAAAAAATTTCTGTTTTTTTGTGTTTCTATTGCACCTCTAGAATTTGGGCCTTCTCTGGCTGGAAATGAGTTATATCCCACTATCCTCAAAGTCCAAATCATCTTCCACCTCGCTTGTAAGGTGCCCAGCTACTAGTCACCTTGACTGGCTCAACTAGACCCAGAGACTTGGGGGAAGCTATTCCTCTGGGTTTCTAAGTCCACACTGCCCTCCGATTCTATGTTTCTGTCTCTGTCTCTTTCTCAGGAAATCTTTAGCAGAGGATACCCCCCCATCTTTCCTCTCTCTCTGCACCACTGTTCTCCTCTGTCCCCTAGCATTCCATTCTGGTTAGTTGTGAGTCTCTCCCTGCTGCTGCTCCTTAAAAGAGGGAACACATCTTTACTGCAGCCTCAAAATGCCAGCATGAGGTGACTTCTTGCAGTTGATGTTTCCATGACACTCATTTAGTCCTTCTGCAAATATCTTTGTTGGGTGTAGGTGAGGAGTATTGAAGACCCTTCAGTCTACTTAACTGCTTTGCTTGGTGGGGTGATTTCTTCCTTCCCTCCTGCCCACCAAGTGCTCTAGGACTCCCCATCAGGGTTCCAATGCCAAGAAAACCCTTTCTTTCTTCTCTTTCCCCTCTCATTCTCATGCTGACCTGATGAAGCTAGGCTAAGGTGGGTGGAGCAGAATAGGAGTCTTGTACATGCAGCTCCATTTAGGAGGAAAACTTTTTTGTTGCTCAAAGTTAAGATTGAGGAGTAATGTTTAGTGAACATGGTCTGGGGTAAGGGGTGGGGTGTGTGTGTGTGTGTGTGTGTGTGTGTGTGTGTGTGTGTATGTGTGTGTTAGAAGTCAGGGGCCTGTGACACTGACACTCTTAGGTGAGTCAATCTGAATCCTAGGGATCACAGAGGTCATTTTGTCAATTCCCCTGCCTTTGGACTGGATAAAGCCTACCCATTCCAGGCTTCTGGGGACAAGAAGGTGGGATTGGAAAAAGCTAGGTGGGGACAGACTCTCTTCTGTTTGGAAAGCTATCCAGAGAAGGAAATTCCCTTCATCCCTAGGCTGCCTGTTCCTGGGTCTCCCCATTACTGAATCAGCATCCTCCCTCCTCCCGGGAGCTGCTGTCCGCAGAATTGACGACAAAATGTCTGACTCTCTGGGATGGATGGGTGTGGGCCTCTCCCGTTTCACAGTCATCCAGGACAGGTGAGACCGGGGGAGGGGGTCCCAGCAGCAGCCCCGAAGAGCTCCCATCTCTCCTTCCAGAAACTTGCCATGCAGTGTGAGCAAGGAGCAGAGCAGAGACGCTAAAACGCCTTCTCCCTGGCAATGCGCATGATTCTGCGGCTCTGTGCTCTCCACACTTCAACGCACCTTGAAACGGGGCTCGCCTCCTTCGCACGGGGACGGGCAGCATTCTGAGCCAATCACCCTCCACTCCCCCGGGAGACAACCAATGGGCAGGAGATAGGGGCGGCCCTAGCGGCTTGGGGCCCACGCTAGGCTTCACCATAGCATTGGCTCAGCTCTGCCTTTGCTTGTAGTGCAGGTGCTGCTGCCGCTGCCTCGTTAAGGGTAGAGAGAGGGGCTGTGATAGGAAAGGAGGGATGGAGAGAGTGGAGGAAAGGCAGCAAGAAGAAAGGAGCAGGACGTGAGAGAGGGCACCTGTCGGGGCTCCTTGATATCGCTTTGGGGCTGGGGCATGATAAGTCTGCAGAAAGAGGAGCACTTTTGAGATATGATGACGCTCTTTGCTGGCGGGCGGTAGTACTATGATTTGGTATGTGGCCACTTTGATAGCAAGTGTGATCAGCACCAGAGGTCTTGCAGCTCAAGGTGAGTTGAAGTACAGCGTGTCTGCTCTGCCCCCATTCCTGTCACCACCTCTCGGTCCCCTCCCTTCCCCCTCAATCCCCCCCAGCTCGCCGGGCTTCCCTTTCCCTGGGCTCCCCCGTTCTCTGCTTCCCGAGGCTGAGGGAGAGATTTCACTGCTCGCCCGGCATCCGTGACTTGCCGCGGGAGAGAGTCCCCCGACTCTGGTGACTCGCACTCAGACGAACTACCTACCAGGGAAGGGAAGAAAACTTGCTCATCCATCCCATCCATTCTGGCATCTGGAGGGGCTGGAGGCAGCAGGGGGAGAACGTGCTTGAGACCCCCGGGGCTGAACCGGCATCTGAAAGAGAATGCTCCCTATAGATCCGTGGTTATCCCCCTCCTCTCCCCGCAACTCCCCCATCTCCACTTCTCTAGACTTTTCCTTTGGCGAAGATTTGTTCGTAAGACGGAGTGCTTCTCCCCAGCGAAGCGACAACCCAAGGCTTCGAGAGGGCTTGCTCTCAACTCTGGTTAGCGAGGCAGTCAGTTTGCAGGTTATTTAGTGGGGGTGTCCCCTGCATCCCCCATAATGAATCTCTTCGCATCTAGACCACTCATCGGAGCGGGGTACTTGGCTTGCTATCCGAATGGGGAAGAAGGACCCGAGGAGGCCACACACACACACACACACACACACACACACACACACACACACACACACACACACACACTCTGCAGCCACGCAGGCAGTAGACGGCCCCCTCCCCGCAGCTGGCAGCTTAAGGTCAGATCACCTTGCTGTCTCGGCAAGGTGGACACCAAACAGAGGTGCTTGGGCGCTCTCCATCAGGACTCCAGAAGGATCCGGCTTCCATCCTGTGCCTTGAGTGCCCTCGATAGCCTCCCCGATGGCCTTGGGGTGTTTGCCATCCTTGCCCGCAGCTCTCCCCAAGCCGGGCACAAACTTCCCAGGGAAGTACTGAGCAGTGGAGGTAGACTTCCCCCAGGTCCAAAGCAAAGCGGAAAGGGGAAATTCCCTGCGGCTCCTCAGATCGGAACCTCAGCGGGATCCCCTCTTTTTATTTATTTCTCCCCAAACTGGGGATGGGGTGGGGGAAGCATGAAGAAAGGAAGCCCAGTAAAAGCGGGACCGGGGGGTGGGTGCGTGTGCTAGCTCTGGCTTGGGAGGTGGAAAACTGGGGAAAGGGATCTATCTGCTCGGCTCGGTGTGGCACCCCTGACTTGTAAGGAGTCCTTGTAAGGAAGTCAGAGTAGAGGAGGCCAAGTGGGTGCCAGGGCACCGAGCTCATGGTCCCTCGGTCCCAGCCGAAGATCTGGCTGCGGGGCAAGTGCATAAAGGCTGGCAGAGACCGCTGCCAGAAGGGAACGATCGGGCGGGGCTGGGGATTCGTGGATGGATGTCAACCCTAAAGAGAGACGCCCCTCTAACTGAGTGGGGGAAGGGGTGGGCAGGGCAGTCATTCTCCCCCCCCCATCCCCGCGGTGCAAGGGCAGTGCAGATCAGCAGGAGGCGCCCTTAGCAGAGATCGCACAAAATTGGAGGGGGACCTGGAGTGAAGTGGCCACCCTCCCCTCCCCCGCCCTCGGCCTTCTTTGGGGGAGGAGGGGCCCTGGAGGATGATAGGGGGAAGAATAGTATATTGCTAGGGTCTCACAACTCATTTTAGATGGGGAAACTGAGTCACGATGCAAAAACTTGCAGAGAAGGAAGACGTTAGATCTGAGTAGGGTTTGTGTTTGAACATCCTAGGCTTCCTGGCCTCTTCCCTGTCAGTTTTTCTCCCATTTCCTTGCCCACCTTCAATTACCCTTATCGAATTTAGTCTAGTTTACTGCTCTGGGACGGTTAGTGAAAGGGCAAAAGGAATAGCAGAATGAACCCAATTTACCCTAGGAAAGAGAAGCTGAGAGAGAGCTGAGTAATATTCAGATCTTGGAGGGAGGGTGGTGGGGAGAGGTTTTATGAAGGGAAAACTGCTGTTCTACCACTTGGCTAAGGATTGGGTAGGGGAAAGTGAATTTTTCACTGTAGCAAAAGAGAGAATGGTTAGATATTAAGAACTTCTAAATAGGGATTTTTTGTCACGGTACTTGGCTTCCCCAAGAAAGTTATTCATTTTTTTCCTTTAAAATTTGAAGAAATGTCCATCTGTTTTAAATGAGTTAATGTTATCATCTTGCCTGGAAGAAGGGGGCTGATTTTGTTGACCTTTGGGGGTACCTTTATAGCATGCGGTGTCTCTGGGTTCCTGGAGCCCCTATTTGCATTTGCCTTCATTTACTACCTTCTTCCATAGACCATATACTTTGGAATTCAGTGTATATTAATAAAAAAATTTTGGAGAAATTTTGGTGTCACTGTCAAGTGTTGGAAAAGTGCTAAGAACCTCTTCTTAGGTTACAGTAGGCTGGGGAACTTCTTTTGAGACTCTGCTTCCCAGGTATCCATGGGGAACGAGCTTGGGCATTAGCTGTTTAAATTCCATTGGAGGGGCTGAAGAGCCAGAGCCTTGTCAGAGCCCAGAAAGGGTTGTGTGAAGGACACATAGGGCTGCCACTTCACTTGCCCTCTTGGTGGAAAGGAGATGAGAACTGTTCATTGTCTCCTAGCTCTTTAGAGGGAGGGGAGAGGGTTGGATGGGGCTGGGAGAGATCTGCCAGTGTATGAGAATGAGTGAGTCCATGTGTGGGAGTATGTCTGTGTGTCTATGAGTGTGCCTCTATGTGTATGTCTAGGTCTGAGTGTGTCTCTTGTGTGTGAATGTGCTTACAGAATGTTCTCTATTCCATGACTCCCCAAAGGCAGAGATGACTTTTCCAGAATTCTCTGCAAGCTGACATCAGGGATCAAGATCAGATGTGGGATTAAGTTGACTAATACTAGGGATGCTCTAGTTATTAAACTTTAGCAGAAAGGTAGAGGAGGACATGGTCTTAAGGGAGGCAAAGGTTGGTCTCACCCAAAAAGCAACTTGGAATTTGCAAAGGGGAAAGTGTACCTGTGGGTAGAATTTCACCTTTGGAATTTTGCAGGTGGGAGTTGAAGAGATAACCTTAGTAGGCCTATAGGCTTTAGAGCTGGAAGGGATCTTAAAGAACATTTTGGCCAACTTCCCCATTTTATAGAGGACAAAACTAAGACCAAGAAAGATTCAGTGACTTGACTGTGATCCCACAGGTTAATTGAACCAGGTCTTTTGACACCAAATTCATGCTCTTTCCCCTGTGCTATTCAGCCTCTTGTCCCTGTAGCCTTGAAAAGTCTGCTTAGAGGCCTGAAATCCTGGGGATGTGGCCAATTTGCCTTGAAGCGGTTGGATCCAGTCAATGTCAGTCAATAAGCATTTATTAAGCTCTTACTATGTGCCAGGCACTGTGCTAAGCACTATCAAGGACATGTATCATGGTTGCTAAGAATCAGAACATCAGAATTAGAACCTTGGAGGTCTGTAAGTACAACTGCCTACACAAATTGTGAATCTTCACTACAATACCTCAATTCATCCAGCCCCAGATGTATCAGCAGCAACAAGGAACTCATCACCTCATGAGGTATTCTTGGATAGCTTGAATTTTTAAGGTCAGTTCTTACTTGTTTTCTGCCTATATGTGTTTCCCTGCAATTTCTACCTATCAGCCCTAGTTGTCCCCTTGAGCTGTGAAGAATTATTTTAGTCTTTCTTCCATGTAACTGAGGGAAATCATAAATGCTTTTTTTAACATTCATTTTTTAAAATTTTGAGTTCCAAATTCTTTCTCCTTCAGGCCCTTCCCCAACTATGAGTAGGCAAGCATCATGATATCCATATCATGCAAAACATATTTCAGAAATGTTAATGGGAGGAAGAGGCAGCCTCTCATATAAAGAACTATCCTTACTTGCCCAGAAACCATGACTTATGACTCTTACTCAGGGTGGATCCATTAGATTGTGAGCTTCTTGAGGGCAGAGGACTGTCTTTTGCTTGGCACATAATAGGTGCTTCTTAACTGTTTATTGACCGAATGACTATAGCTGCCACTGAAAGAAATGGTGTCTAGGAACAGAGTGAGACACCAAGGACTGGATGAAGCTGTGAGCTGGTGTCCTAGCTGTTATGGGCACTGTTAGGAGCAAGAGGGTTGGGCTAGGGCTTCAGACAGACCTCTTACCTCACCTCCTTGAATAGGGGATTGTGAAGGGCAATGTACTGAGGGTATTGGTCAGCTGTTCTGCAGTGAAGTAGCCTTCTACAACCTAGATTCTATGAGTCTAAACCAGTCTGTGGTTATAGAAAGGTACCTTAAAGAAATGTAGGTCAATAGGTAGGTGTTCTCTTTCTAGGCTTGTGGAACTGGAAGCCTTAATACTTTCCCTCCTGACCCTTCCTATTTTTCCCCTGCCTAGGTTCTTTGGTTATGATCACTGCAGTTCCCTAGCTCTCCATGCCTCCTAGACCCTCATTCTTCCCATCTCCTTGCTTTCACTCAAGTATATTCCTACATGATCTATATCAGATAGTTCTGCTCCTTGCAGAATAAAGAAGGATATTTCTTTCCCTCCCTGCCTCTTCTTTGGGGTGGTTAGAAGGGTCTGGAAGGCTGCAGTACTCCTGCAAGGACCCTGAGCATACTTTCGTGGCAGGACTTGGTTTGGGAAATGGCCAAAGTGGACATGTGCTGCAGAAAGGCATGTCTGTCCACTAGCTTGTGCCCTGAAAGATGTTGGGGAGAAGGAAGACTTGAAATGGGTTGTCCAGGGGCCACTGGGAGGCATCAGCTTTCAGCTGCCAGCATGTTGTGTGACACATGGCTAGTGTGGGGAATCAGTGGGTCCTAGACCCTAGATGGTTTCATGTTTGCAACTCTGAGACAGAAACACTGGATCCAGTTACCCAAGTTGCTATAGCTGCCCAGGCAGGGTGATTCTGAGACTCGGCATCCTCTTGAGTTTCCATCACTGTCCATCCCTTCTCTTTCAGTACTTTTCCTATTCCTTCCTGTTTTGCTTAGGCTTA